AGGGAAACAGAAAACAAATCCCAATTTTTATTAATTTTCATAATGCAAACAAGATCAGTTGGTAACATCGTTAAGGTGTATTGTACCAGTACATTCATGCCCTTCATTTTTGTTACATTATATGCATCACACTGCATTTCTGGATGTAATATGCAACTGGAAATTATAAGGGTAGAGGGTATTTTTCTTAGTGGTTCTCTGCACTCCATATATTTTCCGTACAATTTTTTAAATCTACATTTCTGCTACAGCATATGAAGATTTAATATTCAAGTCTAGATTCTGACAATATGCCCCATACCTGAGGTAATATATTGTACATGCCTTTAATAGCATCAAAATAAAAAAAGTATTTCACTTCACTGGAGTGGGAACTAGATCCTTTAAATGTAAACCTTATGGAAGTATTTAGTTGCATTTCTTTTACTGTGATATGATTCTCTCTTATGGAGAGATATTATCTGTTATCTCTGTGTTAAAAATAGCACATGCATTATTTTCTTTCACTGTCTGACACAACCCACACAACGTTTACTTTCTTGGCTCAAGTTCTGCATGAAATAATTCCATAACAGTTCAAGCAATGCAACAAGACAGTGGTGTTGAAAAGAGGTATTGAAAAGAGGCAGTGTGTGTCTGGCTAAGATTGAAGGTCTCTCTGTAGTTTTAGGGTTACCATATTTCCAGTTCCAAAAAAGAGGACACCTGTCCGGAGAGCGGGGAAGGGGTGGTATTTCTAACTGCTACAGTAGATAACAAGTGTTATTGCCTCAGAAATGCAATGTGAAACAAAAATAATTGTCACAAAAATTAAAAATGTACATTTTTATATGCTGTCAGTCCTCTCCTGTGCTTCTTCCAGTCATGCCTATGCATACTTCTATGTAGAGCATATCTTTCTCAGTAATTGCTGATTGCTCATTAAGTATCCATGAAAATAGGGTTACCGTATTTCCAGTTGCAAACTGTTTGATAAAAACCCTGAATTCACCCATTTAAAAAAACCCGAACCCGCATTTTTCCATGCTTAAATTGAAATGCCACTATAGCTATCTATCCAGTTGTCAGTTTAACACAATGGGGTTTTGTTGATTTCTTTACAACTTTAAAGCAATTTAGAAGCCTACCCGTGTCTCAATCATTTTAAGAAAATAGATTCCAAATACCCATTATTTGACTTTTTTTTTTTTTTAAACAGAGCTCCCCTGCCCACTTTGCTCAACAGGGTGTAGTGCCACTGCTGCTGTGCGGGCCGGCCCGTGCCGGGTCCCGCTACACCACCTCCCATCCCCCGCCTGGCCGTCCGCGTCTGCGTGCGCGCGCAAACCAGCACCACGCCGCCGCCGCCGCCCCCATTAGCTGATGCGGCGCCGCCTCTTCTCTGTTTTTCCGCAATAAACTGAAAGTCGGGTCTTGACGTCAGCTTACAATCGCGCATGCGCCCTCGCGCGGAGACTCCTGGGAGCTGTCGTTCCACCTAGCGGCGGCCATGTTGAATGCGGCCGCGGGAGGAAATCCCGGACATTTTGCCTGCTGCATTTAAAAAACCCGCCCGGCCGCAGCACAGGGGGCCAAAAAAGAGGACATGTTCGTTAAAACCTGGATGCATGGTAGCCTTGATACTGATTTCCTCCCAGCTGTTATTCAACCATCTTTTCCACTGAATAATTGTAAAAATTTGAAAGAGAAAAATATCTGTTGAGTACCTATACTAGCTGTTTGGTCAGGTTTGTTTCTTCAGTGCATTCTCAAGTACCCCGTGGTATTTTAAACGACAGAGCCATATTCAGACTTCTTTGATAAAGAAAGTGTTTCTGATAACCCCTGTGCACTTGTTGCTCTGTCACAAAGGACACATTTTACCCTTGTGGGGATGTGGTGGTCCACGACTGTGGGGAGGATGGAATGATTTCTGACCTGTTTGCTCCAGCGTGCTTTGGATACATTGCTTTTGGTTCTGATAGCATAAATGAATCACTTGTTTTTAAAGGTGTCCACAAATGCTTGGATACGTAGAACTAGGTTTCTATTATTGTCAGAAACAGGAACATTTCTCTTTAGATGTTTAGATAGCTGCAATTTAACTCTTCTCTCCCCACCAGTCAAAATTATGAGCAAGCAAGAAAGGGGGGCAAGATGACAACAGCTTCAGAGAAAGAATAAAGAAGACTAAATTCATTCATCAAATATGCCCCATTGAGAAAAGGGGGGAAGGCATGAATTAAACCCAGAGAAGATGCTTACAGACACCTTAAGGAGCTCTGTGCACTGCCTTTCTAGTAATTGGCTTGCTCTGCTAATGTAGGTCTGTCATCCCTGGGGAATTTCTCTCACCCCCTCCCACAGCTGTTCTTTACTAAGCTGTGCCTGTCTTGCTCTGGTCAGACCTGAAGAACAATGTCTTGTATGTAAAAGCTTGTCTAACTCTATCCCAGCTTCACAGTTGAGCCGATAAAAGATATCACCTAGAGAAGCCCTCGTGCTTCTTTCGAGGAGAAGGCTGCTGGCACCCTGCTGTTGGGACCATTGCTCTCTGCCTGCCCATTCCAGCTCATGGACTTTGGCTTCCCAAGAAACCATGGCTGCTGCCATTTCTGCCTGATGTTTTTAACTGGAGCCCCTGTCCCATGCCCTGCATGTGGGTCCTGTCAGGGCAGGGCGTGCTGACAGCAAAATACTAGAGCAATTCTTCTCTTGCAAAGAACCCAGAAAGCGCCAAGCAGGGCACCATGATTTTAACACCATGGATTCTTGTTGGAAATCTCTGGGTTTATCTGATGAGAGGTAGGTAGCTGTCCAGTCTGTCAGAAGGCAGGGTTGATGCGTCTTGTGAATCATGTTTGCACACTGAACGGTGGCAACACTGTGTTGCACCCAGTAGCACCCTTGAAAGGATGTCAAGCTCTTCCCTCGCCTTGCCCCTAGCCCTTCCACGGCTGCAGTGCCCTGGTTGAGAATCGCTGCTATAGATTGTTTTGTTCCTGCTGTGAATCACCTGTCAAGGGCTAATGTTACTGTTTCTTTTTTTTTCTTTCAGAGAACATTGGCGAGCAGCCGGATTGAATTGCCACTAAGTCATCTCAAATGAAAGCTTTTGCTGAAAATACAGAGTTCTGGTAATACTTGTTTACAATTAAAAGAACAACAGCATTCTTTGGGTTATTTTTTGTGGGGTTTAAGAATGTGACTGGAAGTTTTCTTGGTGAGGAATGTTCAGACCAGTGATTCACATCTAGGGTACCCTGGCACCCTGGGGTGCCTTGAGATCTTTCTAGTAGGGTGCTGTGGGGTGCGTGTGCAAACATGATTCACAAGATACACCCAGAGTTTTCACATAGGAATCCATAGTATTAAAAAAGCATGCTGACCTGTTGTGGTCTTTCAGAGTTCTTTGCAACAGAATTGCTCTATTATTTTTCTGTAGTCAAAAAATAATGAGAGCAAACAGAACAACATTTTCTGAGGGGGCCTTGAGTCTACTGAGAGGTGCCTGAAGCCTAAGAATGTTGAGAACCACTGGTTTAGAGACTGTTTCCTTATATGCAAAGAATAATGCCAAATACATAAGATCTGTTTCTGTATGCGATAGCTGTGGAATGTGCATCTGCCTGGACTGATCCCAAAGCCATCTCAGAGCAGCCCCTGTTCTAGAATGGAGCCTGGGGCTAAGCACAGACATTCAAAAAGCCCGAGGCTGAATTGATTCAATCTTTGCAGGTTAGACTAACCTGTGTAGATTGAACTGAGAAGCAAGTGAATAGACATTCACTTTTGATTCCAGAAATGAAGCCACACACCTGCAGTGGCTCAGGCTAGAAGCTGGGGAGTGCTATAGTAAGCCCTCTTCCTTCTGCAGTGGCCAGAAGGCTGGAGGGAAGCTGAGCTGAGGGGGTCATTGCCAAGCCCCAACAAGCCACTGAGTATGATTGGGGAGGGGTTTAAACATCCCCCTGGCCTGCCCAGTCCCCAGCCAGCGTGCCTGGAGCGGGGAAGGGAGAAGCAGCCCTTGCCAGACTTTTCCCCACTGCAGTACTGGAGCGGAGGGGGGAGGTTGAAAGGGACTGCTGCGCCCCTGCCAGGCAGACCTCGTCTGGGGTCCTGTGCCAGTGGGGAAGGGGGATTAAACCTCCCTTCCCCACCTCACCCTCCTGGCCCAGTTTAGGCATGGCCATGCCCCCTGATCTCTGCTGGAGTGGGGAGAGTGGGAGCAAACTCTGGTAGGAGCTGCCCTCTTCCCCTGCATATGTAGGGAGTGGGGTAGGGGGGTGCAGAAATGTGGCAGCTGCCCCATGCAGACCTAGGCTGGTGTCCTGCGGGCCATGGAGGAGTTTAAATCGAAGGAAAGCCTGGCAGGAATTGCTCTGCCCCTGCCAGGCAGACTGGGCTGTGTCCCCAGCCAGTTTTCCACCTTCACCCTCTTGTCAGCCAGCTTTCACTGCTTGGGCTAGAAAGCAGAGGGGCACGGCCAACCCTGCTCTGCTGGAGCAGACAGGACAGCCCAGCCCAGAGCTGTAAAGCATCCTGGGAGACTGGGGGACTGTGATTTAATTAGAACCAGGAAGGGGTCTGGGACTGAAGTTCCATAAACCAGTTTGACCTAAATCAGTTAAGTCTGATACTCCATTCAACCAGGTTTATCTTAAACCAGTTTTGGCCATCTGTCACAGGTTTAAACCAGTTTCTGATCACTCAAACTGGTTTATGTGTAACTTCTGTTCCTAGCCAATGTGGACCCAGATCCCTATGCCTAGGCACAGCCTTACACAGGCTCCGGGGCAGTGGGCCTCTGGTTGTGGTCTTGTAGGATTAGGAACTGACAACACAGCAACACAATATAAATATTTGGATGCCAATTTATAAAAGGGAAATACAGCCTCAGTTGTTTACATTTCCATCCAGTGATCTAACAAGAGTATGAAAGAACTTGAATTGGATGCGGAGAATTCAGAGTGTAGACAGGTAGATGCAATAAACTCAATATACAAATTACGTGTTAATAATCTTATTCAAGAGCTGCCTCTGCATATTTCCATTCATGGGAGATTAGCTAGTAGCACCTGCCCTTAAGGAACTGAGATGACTGCAGGGACTACTTTCCCAAATTGGCATTAGAAAAAGCAAATGAATAATTTTATGGGCATATGAGTGGAAAAGTGACTGAAGTTTCAGTCATGTAATGTTACTGCTATTGACATAATTCAGATGCTCAGATTTAGAAAAAATGGCAGTAAGGAACAGTACCAAAAGGATTGGGTAATTGATTTAAAAGAAGATATTTTAAACAGTATAAAAATACTATTAGAGATACTTGTGGCATATTTGCAGATTTTTATAGTACAAAAGCATGAATAGGCTCTACAACCCTCCTGTACAGAAATACCAGATAGCTGGTAGCAAATCTGCATGCAAAATATACCAAGCCTAAAAGCCTTTGAAATAGATTCCTCCTCCTCTTCCTTTCCCCCAGACGTATTTTCAGAATCACCAGATATCATGCTAACCTCACTTGGCAATGAGTACAGCTTGGGAAAGAAAAGGGGGAAGTTATGACTGATGCAAATGGAATTTAAAATCCACCTTCATGTCAGGTATAGATGTAAAATATCTTGACCTTGTGGAACATTAGTTTAAAACCTTTTTATCAGTTAAAAACACTGCCCTTGAAAGCAGATATGCACACAGCAGCTAGGCAAGAAGTCCAAAAAATGACATGTATAAAAAATAGATAAGTTGTTAACTCTCACTTTTATTCCTCACATTCTAATGCTTGAGTTCCTCTCCTCCTTGCATTAAAGCAAGCATTGTGGAATTATGTGTGTCGTAAATTATGGTCATTTTCCTAGCCATATTAGTTTTAATGGCCCTGATGGTTCCAATGGATGTTACAGTCAGACCCTTATGTGCTTTAGAATTACAGATAAGCTAACTAATATATGAATACATATAATTCTTTTTGATGAATGTATTATTGTTTTGTAAATCATTTCCAAGATAGAGGTCAGCAGTAAAAACTGTTTTGTAATAATACTTAGCAGAAATAAGAATATGGTGGAACTTTGCCTCGGTATCTTTAAAATGATTTCTTCATCTGAGTTTAAGGGAAAAAAAGATGGGGAAATCTAGCAAATGAAGAGAAGGACGCTAGTTGCTTGGTGAAAAGAAAATTCATCGAACATTCCAGGAGACCACAAGGTGTCAGTCTTGACTTGCAAGTTGATATAGTAGCAGGGAGTAGATTCCATGCAGGAAACCCATTATCATTTGTCACTGATTTTTTTAGTGTAGTTCTGTTGTTGGAAATAGCCTGTGTTCAGATGTGGTTGAGGAGGATGTACATGCTTTTTCTTAAATTGGCTAGGCTTGTGGTATGTAGTATCACATGGCTTACGATTATCAGTTAGTGATTTATCTAACATCAAGTTATCTGCATTTTTCAGTGTCTGAAGAATGGCTAGCATTTTAGTATTAAAATTGGTTTATTGCTTTTTTAAATGTAACTTTTTATTATGTGTCCTTATTTTAATTCATGTGGATCACTCCAATTTGCCCTATTATTGTTTAAGACTTCTATATTATGTTTGCAAGGAGCCACTAAACTGAAAAAGCAACCCGTTCTTTTTTGTATTTGTACTCCTGGATGTACTCAAGAAGTAGCAGTTCACTCCAATTGGCTAGAGGAGACCATTCATTAGTAGTCACTTATTTATGGAGTCTGCATGATAAACAGGTTTCCTTTTTAGTACTTCTTTGTCTTGTGCATTTTGAAAATGCCTGTCACTGGTATCTCAATCTGGTATATTCCATTAGTGGTCATGCATTGTTCACCTGGAGGATGCACTTAAGCAAAGTTAAAATGAACAATCAATCCTTGTTAAACACGATGTGCTGTGCTACTAGTAATTGTACAACTGACTAGCTCCCCTCTAAGGCTTCTAATAGCTGTGCTGACAGTAACTATTACAAACCTTGAAAATGAGGGGAGCTAGTCAGTATAACATATTTTCTTTCATACAACATGCCCCCTTGTTTTTAAAGGCATCATTAAGAGAAAAAGATTTTTTTTCTTTGAAAATACTAAAAAGTATGGGGTTTTTCCAGGGAAAACACTGGCAGCTGCATTAAGGTGGGGAGAGCAAAACATTGTGGCTGCTCTAGCTTCAGGATGCCACAGATGCTGTTGAATGAGCCAAACTGCCTGGCCTCTTTTCTCTTGAGCTGAGCTAGGTGGATAGCCAGCAGAGCCTGCTAGGTGGGCTTGATCCTAGCTAG